AAGGTTGAGTTGTGTAAGTAATGAAAGAGATCTGTGGCCTCCTGACTCTAAGATAATGCCTTTCTGCCACTTTACAGGAAGGAAAAAAAAAAAAAGTCCAATCCCTGTTCTAGGGAGCAAAATGAAGTCAGTGGGATCTGGGTTGTCTTTCTTTCTCTGCACTGCTTTCCTTTCTGTTAGTCTTCTCTTGTAGATGCCCTGCTCGTGGGGAAAGAACATTTACAACAACCCCAAGCTTGCATCTTCACATCTGTGGAAGAAAGGTCCTCTTTCCTAGTTGTTCCAGTGAAAATGCCAAGATTCATTTTGGTTGAGCCTCCTTAGCTTGCCTTGTTTTATGTGTCCATCTCCAAACCAGTGGCTGGTTTTGGGAATGCAGCACTCTGATTTGTTAAATCTAGCTCATGATTTGACCCCAGTTGTGATGGGTCATGTCAATACTTCCCAGCTATAGGAACCAAAAGAGGTGAGGGGTGATCCTCTTAGAAGACTTGATGGGGTGGGCTTGTGGCACAGTAGTTAAGACACTGCTTGGGATGAGTGCATCCCATATTGGAGTGCATGCATTGGGTGTGCTTGAGATGCCCACATCCAATATCAGAGTGCTTGGTTTGAGTCCCAGCTACTCTGCTTCTGTTCTGGCTTCCTGCTAATGTCCCTAGAACACAGCCAATGATAGTGCAAGTACTTGGGTCCCTGTCCCATGGGGGAGACCCAGATTGACTTCTAGGCTCTTGGCTTTAGCCTGGCCCCTCCCTGGTTGTTGTGGGCATTTGAGGAGCGAACCAGCAAATGGCAGGTCTTTCTCTCTTCATCTGTCTGTCTATCTCACTCCACCTCTGCTTTTCAAATAAAGTAAAAATAAGTAAATTTTTAAAAAGAGGAGTGAGTGTTGTGGTACAACAGTTTAAGCCACACTTGGGACACCCACATCCCGTGTTGGACTGTCAGTGGAGTCTGGCTCCTCTGCTTCTGATGCAGCTTCCTGCTAATGTACCTGGGAAAGCATCAGATGATGGGAGATTGGAGTGGAGTTCCAGGCTCTTGGCTTTGGCCTGGCCCTGTCTTGCTGTTGTTGCCATTTGGGTAACGAACCAATAGATGAAAGATCTCTCTCTCTCTCTTTCTCTCTCTCTCTCTCTCTCTCTGTGTGTGTGTGTGTGTGTGTGTGTGTCTTGCTCTGTCACTCCACCTTTCAAATAAATAATGACTCTTTAAAAAAAAAGAAAAGTTATTACCAGATTAGAGGGACTAGTAGGACCAGAACAATGAGTAATCAGAAAAATTATAAAATAGGTTGGCAAACAAAAATATCCACTAAAACAATAATTTTCATAGCTTCTAAATAGTTGTAGTTTCTGTTAATACAGAGATAATATTTCCATTCATTAAATAATTTTTAATCAAAAATTTTATATCAACTCTATGAAATTTGTTTTTATTGGTTAAATAATTTTTTTTTGCAAGTTGCATTTGTTTCCCAGGGCTGCTGCAACAAGTGTTGTAAAGAGTTGGCTTAAAACAACTGAAAAGTGTTCTCCAGTTCTGGAAGCTGCAAGTCAGAAGGCAGTGTTGGCAGGGCCACGCTGCCTCGCAAGGCTCTGGCGGAGAACCCTTCCTTGCCTCTTCCAGCTGCCGTTGGCTGCTGTCAGTCCTGACCCCAGTCCCCTCATGGCCGCCTTCCCTGTGTCATCTCCTCTTCTAACAAGGACAGCAGTCATTGGATTTACAGTCCTCTCTAATCCAGTATGACCTCATCTTAACTGCTTACATCTGTAAAAGCTGTTTCCAAATAAGGTTACATTCTGAGGTTCCCGATGGATGGGGACTTGGGGGTAGGGGAGAGGGTGGGAGAGATAGTATTTGACCTATTACACAGGTCCATCTAATATTATTGGAGAACTGAAAAGGCAGAAGATGTAAAACAGGTATTTGGCCTGGCAGTTAAATTACCAGTTAGGATGCCTGCGTCCCATATCAGAGTGCATGGATCCCAGGTCCCAGCTCTGGTTCCTGATTCCAGCTTCCTGGTTATGCAGGCTCTGTGAGGCAACAGGTAATGGCTCAAATGGTTGAGTCCCTGCTACCTATATGACAGACCTGGATTAAGGTCCCGGATTCCACCTGACCCAGTCCCATGCACTGGGGAATGAACCAGTGGATGGAAACTCTGTCTACCTCTGTTTCTGTTTTTCTGCCTCTCAAATAAAAACAAACAAACAAACAAAAAAAACAAAAAGAATATTTATCTATTTCAGGCTAAATAGTAAAGGTAAAGACTACAGGGGGAGCAGTGCTGTGACGTAGTAGGTTAAGCCTCTGCCTAGAGCACCAGCATCCCATATGGGCGCCAGTTCACGTTCCAGCTGCTCCACTTCTGATCCAGCTCCCTGCTAATGGCCCAAGTTCTTGGGCCCCTACACCCACCTGAGAGAACCAGAAGAAGCTCCTGGTTCCTGCCTTCAGTCTGGTCCAGCCCCAGCCACTGTGGCCATTTGGGGAGTGAGCCAGTGATGGAAGATACTTCTCTCTCTCTGCCTCCTCCTCTCTCTGACTATAACAACTCTGCCTCTCAAATAAATAAGTAAATCTTTTTTTTTTAAATAAAGACTAAGTTTATCAAAGAAGGAAAGATCATTCAACACCCAAGTAATCCATTAATATAATATATGATTTATAATTTTATTTCTTTTCATTTTATTTGAAAGGCAGAGAGAGAGAAGCAGACAGGTGGAAAGAGATCTTCCATCCACTGATTTGTTCCCCCAAAGCCCACAACAGCTAGACCTGGAGCAGGCTGAAACTAGGAGCCAAGAACTTTTGTATTTCCCATATGAACAGCAGGGACTCGAACACTCGTGTCATTATCTGCTGCCTTGAAGGAGTAGCTGGGACTTTATCAAGGCATAAGATGTGAGTGTCCTGAGCGGTAAAATAAGGTGCTACACCAAACATCTGCTCCATAATATACCATTTTAACATATTATTATGAGTTAAATTGCTCCCCTCAAGATATATTGAAGTCCTAATCCATAACACTTTGTGTAGAAATAGATCCAAAACACTTTGTGTGGAAATAGGATCATTGCAGATGTAATTACTTAAAATGAGATCATACTGGGGTGAGGTTGCTCTTAATCCATTATGACTCAAGTCCCTATAGAATAACGTGAAGATGTAGGAGAGAACACCCTAAACACCGTGGTGAGATTAAGTTTCCACCCTCTTAATATCGTTAACATACGACTTTGGGAATTTAGTCTCCTACATGAGTTTGGGAAAGAGAGAAGGATAAAATATAATCAAACTATAGAAATACAGAGTAAGCAGGGGCTGGCACTGTGGCAAAGTTGGTTAAGCCTCCGCCTCTGGTGCTGGCATCCCATATGGATGACGGTTCCTGTCCTGGCTGCTCCACTTCCGATCCAGCTCCCTGCCTATGGCCTGGGAAAGCAGTGGAAGATGGCCCCAGTGATTAGGGCCCTGCATCCGCATGGGAGACCTGGAAGAAGCTTCTGGCTCCTGGCTTCAGCCTGGCCCAGCCCTGCTGTTGCAGCCATTTAGGGAATGAACCAGCGTATGGAAGACCTCTCTCTCCCTCTGTCTCTGACTCTTCCTCTCTTGTAACTCAGACTTTCAAATAAATAAAGAAAACTTAAAAAAAAAGAAACGATGGTTTTGATAGTGGGAATTGGTTGGAATGGTTTCAAAAGAGAAGACAACAAAGAACAAAACAAAACTCTATAAATTTTATACAAGGGATCTGAGAGGTGCACGTGAAATCAAGGGGAACTTTCTGTTTTCTATGCTTTTAAGATAGCACATATTAGGTGTCATATCTGTGTAAAGTCGGAAGCGATCCACTTTGTATAAAAGAGGGAAATGATTCTGAGTGCAGCTTTAGGCAGAGCTTACTTCCTGCCTGTCTTGGGTTCTAACATCTCTCCTGAGCACTTTTGGATTTGCTCTGCAAGGTACCCTAGGGGCACCACCATCCCAGGACTAATTCTAGTATTAGATTTGCACTGTCGGGTTTCCCACACCAAGCAGGTAAAATAAATTTGAACTCTAAAATCTCATATGAGGTACAATCTTGGATCTGAATATCTTACATGGACTTTTTCCCCATGCAAGGCCCTGCAAAGACAAACCTTCTTTCCCTTTTCCTGGTGTGAATGAGCGAGTCCCTCGTCCCTTTTCCTCAAGGTTCTAGCTCCTGTGCTCACGGACTGGGGTTTGCTGTTGACGTAAATATACCCAGAGCCACTGCTGGCCATGCTCACGGGCTCATGTGCTTGCTGCTCCAGCTCTACCTCCTCTTCTCTGCTGGCGTCCCGGATTTCTTAATTTGTCTCACAAGCCCACCCTACGTTGTTAAAGCTTGGGCTATAGTTTAACCAACATCTCTAAGGATCTGTGGCAGAAAAGGTTCTGTGCCTTCTACACCTCCACTTTGCTGAGGTCGGAAACTTTTACCCCTCACTCTTCTCCTGCTAATAATTCCTGGTCATCTTTGAGGTCTCAGTTTAAATGTTGCCTTCCAGAGAGGTATTCCCTAGCCACCTCCATCCCAATTTGAACTAGTTTACCCTTTCATACTCCCGGTAGCACTCTCCTTCTCTCTTAGCTAATGTCATATGAGTGTTTATTTAATGCCTGATACCCCCTCTCAGTTGAAAACTACATGAAAGAAAGAATCAAAATTTTTCAGTTGGTTCAGCCATATAGCAGACCAGGTGTATTGGAGATGCTCAATAAGGTTCGCTGACAAATAATTTTTAGAAGTCTAATAACTAGTAGCACTGCATTAAATAACATTGTGAAATCTGTTGTCTTCTGTGTCTTGGGGACTGTTTTCTCCTGGAAGAATAACGGACAGAGTCGCAGGCCGTGGCTTCACCTGCTGAGCCACAACACCGGGCCCTGAAGGAGAGAGGCGTTCTCGGAGTTCACTGTCCTCCGAGAAGGATCGTTGTTGACCTGTGTCATTTCCTCTGCAGCATGGAGATCTCCTCTCATCAGTCTCACCTCCTGCAGCAGCTGAACGAGCAGCGCAGACAGGACGTGTTTTGTGACTGCAGTATCCTGGTGGAAGGGAAGGTCTTCAAAGCCCATCGGAACGTACTGTTTGCCAGTAGTGGCTACTTCAAAATGCTGCTGTCTCAGAACTCAAAGGAGACGAGCCAGCCAACCACTGCCACCTTTCAGGCTTTCTCCCCGGACACTTTCACGGTCATCCTGGACTTTGTCTACTCCGGCAGACTGTCTCTCACCGGGCAGAATGTCATCGAAGTGATGTCAGCTGCCAGCTTCCTTCAGATGACTGATGTCATTAGTGTGTGCAAGACGTTCATTAAATCTTCACTGGACATCAGTGAGAAAGAGAAAGACCGCTATTTCAGTCTCTCGGATAAAGATGCCCACTCTAATGGCACAGAACGTCCCTCTTTGTATAGTAGTGGCTGGCAAGAAGGAAGTGGTTCTCCACACTCTCACTTAAACCCTGAGCAAGGAGCAGGTGGAATAAGTGGAAAAGCGTGGAGTAAGTATCATTACCACCCAGTCTCCCACAGGAATGCTCAACAGCTGCTGGCCAAGCACGAGCAGAGGAAAGACGCCATTAAAAAGACCAAACATTTGCGATTGTCACAGCCGTCCGATGTTGGTCATTTTAAGTCAAGCAAACGGGAAGCACGGACCTCCGATTCTTCCGACCATGTTTCCCAATCAGAAGAACAAGCACCTGTTGATGCTGAAATGGACTCCACTCCTGTTGGCTATCAGTATGGTCAAGGACCTGATGTCACATCCAGAAGTTTTCCAGGTATCCAAAAAGAGCCAAACCATCCCTCAACTAGGTTCCAGACTCCTATACAAGGGTAGTTAAAGAAGGTTGTGGGAAAATGAAATAAAAACAAGTTTATTTTGGTGCCCCCCTCCCACAAAAAGACATTGAAATCCATGTGCAGTTCTTTCATGATGCGCACTATGAACTTTTTGAAAACCCATATAAATAAATTCTGGCTCAAAATTCCCTTGGGTATTATTGACAATTGGAACTAGTGATTTTTTTAAGATTTATTTTATTTGAAAGGCAGTTACAAGGGGAGAGAGGGAGAGATAGATCCTCTGTCTGCAGGTTTACCCCCAAAATGGCCACGATGCCCAGAGCTGGGCCAGGCTGAAGCCAGGAGCCAGGAGCTTTATCCAGGTCTCCCATGTGGGTGCAGAGGCCCAAGGAGTTGGGCCATCTTCCACCGTTCTCTCAGGTGCATCAGCAGGGAGCTGCATCAGAATTGGATCAGCTGAGACTTGAACCGGTTCTGGCACTGCAGGCAGTGGCTTAACTCATTGTACCACAACACCAGCTCCACCAGTGATTTTTAAGTTTCATACTTTTATAATGAAATGTATTTCATAAGACATGAACTTAAATTTTTTAATTCAAAATAATATCAGGTAAATTTTACAGTAGTCAAAATAATAGAATACTGGGCCGGCGCCGTGGCTCACTAGGCTAATCCTCCGCCTAGCGGCGCCGGCACACCGGGTTCTAGTCCCGGTTGGGGCGCCGGATTCTGTCCCGGTTGCCCCTCTTCCAGGCCAGCTCTCTGCTGTGGCCAGGGAGTGCAGTGGAGGATGGCCCAGGTGCTTGGGCCCTGCACCCCATGGGAGACCAGGAAAAGCACCTGGCTCCTGGCTCCTGCCATCGGATCAGCGCGGTGCGCCGGCCTCAGCGCGCCGGCCGCGGCGGCCATTGGAGGGTGAACCAATGGCAAAGGAAGACCTTTCTCTCTGTCTCTCTCTCTCACTGTCCACTCTGCCTGTCAAAAAAAAAAAAAAAAAAATAATAGAATACTGAGAATCAAAACCCATGATTTTCCAAACGTTTGTCTGTGAGTGATTGATACTGATAAGTAATTAAAGCTCTTTTCTAAATGGTCCAATATGTATAAGACACATATTTTCACTTTAGGTTTTTTTCTGTGTATAGAGAAATACACTATAGATAAATATGTAATTTATTCAGAAATAAATACACAACCTTTAAAAAAACCTAAAGTACAATCTCTAACATTGATTCTGTAATTCTGCAGTGGAGCAATGTGCAACAGTATGAGATAAAGTTTCTTGTTTCTATGATATAATTAAAATACAGAAAGACTGTATGGGTTGATAGTTTTGATAGAGCTGGTGTTGTGGCATAGCAGGTTAAGCTGCCACCCGCAACACTGGCATCCCATATAAGCATTGATTCATATCCTGACTACTTCACTTCCAACCCAGCTCCCTGCTAATGGCCTGGAAAAAGCAGCAGAAGGTGGCCCAAGTGCTTGGGCCCCTGCCACCCATGAGGGAGACCTGGACAAAGCTCCTGGTTCCTGGCTTTGGCCTGGCCCAGCCCTGGCCATCCATCTGGGAAGTGAACCAGTAGGTGGAAGATTTATCTCCCCCTCCACCTCTCCAACTCTGACTATCAAATAAATAAATAAATCTTAAAATAATAATATTAATAATATTCCTTTCACCCTTGGTAAGACTGAAAATGAGTGTGGATTGGAAGTTATCTCCTTCAGTTAGTCAGCAAATTTGTTTCATAGTTTACTTGTAAACTTAAAGAGAAATTATAATAAAATGAAACTCTTAGAGATTATAATACTTCAATTTAAAAAACCTTTTGCTTTAGAACAATTTAAAACATATACAGAAGTGAAAGGAATGGCCGGCACCGCACCGCGGCTCACTAGGCTAATCCTCCATCTAGCGGCGCCGGTACACGGGGTTCTAGTCCTGGTTGGGGCGCCAGATTGATTCCTGGTTGCCCCTCTTCCAGGCCAGCTCTCTGCTGTGGCCCGGGAAGGCAGTGGAGGATGGCCCAAGTGCTTGGGCCCTGCACCCCATGGGAGACCAGGATAAGTACCTGGCTCCTGCCTTCGGACCAGCACGGTGCGCCGGCCGAAGCGCGCCAGCCGTGGCGGCCATTGAAGGGTGAACCAACGGCAAAAGGAAGACCTTTCTCTCTGTCTCTCTCTCTCACTGTCCACTCCACTCTGCCTGTCAAAAAAAAAGCATGGTGGCCATCTGAGAGATGTATTTGCAAATGGCAGATCTCTGTCTCTCCCTCTCTTTCTGTAACCCTGGCATTCAAAACCAAATAAAGCACTATATCTCTATCCTTATCCTTGCCCGAAATCTCCGAGATAGTGAGTCAGAACCTAAAATTACAACACATAGTAGCTGTATATTATCATATGGCTCTTGAAGCAGACAAGTTGTGCAACAACTATTTGAAAAATAAAGAAAGCCAAAAAGGGAAGGCGACTGGGGGCTGTTCCAATATTTGGTAAAAGATGCCTGCCCCGCATTTGCCAGCATCCCATATGGGCCCGGGGT